TAAAAAAAATAAAAGATAAAAATTTAAAAAACACATATGTGCTATAACCCATTTTTGGGTCCCCGAACAAAACAAAAATAAAAAAGAAAAGAAAATGAGAAACAATAAAAAAATAAAAATAAAAATTAGGCAAGAGGAGTGGATGTCAAAATGTTTAAGAAAATGGTTAGAAATGAGTTGAGGATATTCATAAATATAAAGATTGAAATTTGACAGTATATATTGGACTGGTGAAAGCCCAGACCAACAAAGAAAATTTAATTTGAGAAAGAAATGACCAAAATCATATGTTTATTGGACTAAATTAAATTTATTAAAGATTTAGTTGAGTTTATGTAGAGTTTTATTGAACTAAAATTGAATTTTGAAGTCAATTTGACCTTTAATTGGAAGAAATTAAGGTTCTAGAGTCAAATTATAAATTTTTAGAGTTAATTTGGTCAAATCCGGGGCTTAATTGCATAAATATTAAAGTTTGATGGCCAATTAGTGACTTAATTGAAGAAATCTGAAATCAAGGACCGAAAGAGGGGCGGTGATTGACTGGATTAGGGACTAAATTGAAGACATTGAAACTTTATTGATCAATTAAGAGTTCAATTACATACATTATAGACCAAGGATCAATGTGAAAAAGACGGCCAACTTTAGAGCCGGCACTTGAATTTGACAAGGATACAATTGAATTGATTTTTACAATCAAAATTGCAATTAAAGACTCAATTGAACAAATCACAAATTGAGGACCAATGTGAAATCTGACAATTTTTTGACACATTTTTCTTTTAAATCAAACACGTGTTTTGTCCATACAACATCGTTTCATCCATTGTTCAATAAAAAAAAAAGCAGAGAAAAGCTTGAAATGATGCTGTTTTCAATGGTACTGTAGGTTTTTTTCTTCTCTTGAATGCACGAGGCAGGGGAAGAAGAAGATTTTTTTCTCCCTTACTTTTATCTCCCTCTTTCTCTGAAAAGCTCAAAAAAAGGCCGACCAAGAACCCCCACTTGCCAAATCTTTCCATAAGTTGAAGAAAAGGGAAGAGATGTGTCCCTCGGGTGATGGAGGGGCGGCTGCGCAGTGGCCTCCCCGTCAATATCTCTCTCCTATTATTGCTTATAAATACAAAAGGGACAAGGACACAAAAGGAGAGAGAGCATAAGAGAGGGTAGAAGACTGGAAAAAAAAGGGGGGGGGGGAAGAAACAAGAGAAGAAAAAAGAAGAAAAATAGAGAAAAAGAGAAAAAGAAAAGAACCACAAAGAAAGAAGAAGAAAAGAGGCAACCACCACTCCTGTCGCCTCCGCTGCTGCTAGTGTCACCATCACTTCAGGTAAATGCGCCTCCCTCTTCCTTGTTTGTTAGCCTCGCCTGTATTTGCTAGTAAAACGTGAATAAATCACGTTCTACAGCAAATGTAGAGTTGGCAGCTTATTTGGTTATGGGTTGGAACATCAGCTCAACCCACATGGCTTGGCTAAATCTACCCAAAATGGATGGGTCAGGTCTGACCCAGTTTTTTTTAAAAAAATAAAAATTTAAAAATATTTTTTGAAATTTTACAATTTTCCCGCGTATTTTTTATGTCATTTTGATTAATATTGGATAGTATTTTTATATTACTAAAAATAAAAAATCCGATATTACAATACTCGGTTTTCATCAAAACTTTTAAAATAAAAAAATTGAAAAAAAATATTTTTGTGTATACTACCAAGTGTCTTAAAGATAAAAAATCATATTATGTTTTATATACACTAAAAAACAATGTTTTAACATGCATTTTGGCTTTAATAACCAATTTATAAAAGTCAAGAGAATTTTGGCGAAAATTTCAAAAATAACAAAAATTTTATTTTATTTGTCTTTTAGTATTTGGGATACGACATTACATGTAATACATATTTCGGATGTTAAATTCTTTTTTTCTTTACACTTAAACGGTTAAGTTTTATACCATTAAGATGAAAACTTTTTTGTTGAGGAGAGTTTTTCTCGAATTTTAAGCAGACATGAGTAACAATTAGAAAGCAAGATCAAACCTTAGATTTTAATCAGACAAGTAAAATAACGTAACTTACCTTAGATATGATGTATTTTGATGGTAATATTTGTAAATAAAATAATGCAACTTACCTTAGATATGACGTATTTTGATGGTAATATATTTTTTTTATACAACCAGTTTCTATACCTGAACTTTAAATTCAGTTGGGGTTTCTAGCAACTAAAATATTAGATGATGATTTATTCTATTATTTAATAATAAAAAAAATTATTTATTTTTTATATTTATTAAATAAATTTTTATATTTTGTATCTTTATATTTTGTCAAGTGATGAATGATCGCTACAACACGACACATATACTACAATATGTGCGTGTAACCGAAAGTATTTTGTTCGCAAATTTCGGTGCAAAATCAATGGTTTTTTCTTCTTTTTTTTTTACTTTCATGTTTTCTTCTCCTTCCATTAACGTACTTCGATAGTGAATCAAATGATCAATGCGTAATAAATTAGCAATAAAAAAAGTACATGATTAAGAAGTCTACAGATTGTGGTACGTGAATAGAACAAAATCAGAATTAATTTAAATCGTCGACAATAATTGAACATGAATCCACCATGTGGATGGTGAGAAGGCCACAACATGCATGTCTTTTTATCTTCCAAAAGTGGTGTCTGTTCCTTGTCAAGGTAACTGCTAAAGACAGTATCTTCTTTAATTAGATCTTTCATCAATAGCACCAAGACATTTAATGTCAACCGCAACTCCAACCCATAATTTTGAAATTATACTGTTTTTTAAATTATTTTTTATTTAAAAATATATTAAAATAATATTATTTAAAAATATTATTTTTAATATAATACATCAAATAATTTAAAAATATTTAAAATAATTAACTTAAAATTTAAAAACATATTTTAATAAAAAAAAGTTGAACATCAATGCCATACATCAAGGGAAACGCGTACCTAGCTCAATCACATGCCAAAAAGAAAAATTGTCAAATAATTAATTTAAAATTTAAAAACAAATTTTAATAAAAAAAAAAAGGTTGAAGATCAATGCCATATATCAAGGGAAACGCGTACCTAGCTCGATCACATGCCAAAAAGAAAAACTGTCAATATTTCATTTCATCATATTCGACTTCTCTGCTACACGAAAAGGCAAAGATTCCAATTTTTTTTCTTGATTGAAACCCTACAACATGCTTATTGTTCAAGAATTAATGATGATGGTCATCCTAAACTTGTTGAATGCTTGTTTCCATATGTTCTTGAGACATGATGATGCGAAAGCGACATGTCATTTGAACTGCTAGTGAAATTTGTGGACTCAATATTCATCAAGGAAAAATGTATTAATATATATATATATATATTAATACATTTTTCCTTGATGAATATTGAGTCCACAAATTTCATTCCCGTGAAGAATCCTCAGTGCTTTCCAGCTTTCTAGTCAGTGAATAAAAAATTTGAACAGTTACTTATGCGGTTCATTAAATTGCTATGAAGTACGCATGCAATGCCAGGTCTCTACAGACATAGCTTGCAGTAATGAGTCACCCATGATAAGATTCCAAGAAAGAAATGTGATTTTCTTTTTCTTTTTTATACATTAGCGTGAAAATGATGGAACTTAATCAAGAATAAATACAAGATGCACGGATTAATTTTGATATAAGGTCGTCTAACATATATGCAATGTAAAATAAACATATTAACTAAAAATTTCAGTTATTAAATGAGATTTTAATAATAAAATTGATCAAACTCACGAGTAATTAATCATTAAAATTCTAATATTATACTGAATAATGATCTTAATCCAACAATTTAAATTTTTAAATTAAAATATTTTTTTAACCTATATTTAAATATGCTAGAGATTCACGACATCAAAAATATCTTCTAGCAATATTATGCTTCTCTTCCCGCATGGAAGTTGAATCTAATTATATAAACTTATCTTTTCTCGTTGTTATATACTAATTTTATTTCAAATTTTCTTCATAAAATACTTCTATAAACTCCTTTCTTACTTCTTTTTTTTTTTATAATGGTAAACATTTGTGTGGCTGGGCCTTTTCTTTAGACAGGAATTATGCCTCAAAGTTTTGAATCTTAGTCAAAATGTTACATATATCTAATTGACCAATAATTATGGTATTTTTCTAAGGACAAAAACGATAATGTTAATCTGGCCGTTGTGTAAAAACTTTGACCGATGATTAATATTAATAATATGGGCATTTTATATGTATGCATTTTCTTAATAAATGAATGGAATTCATTGATCTAAGAGTAAATTAAAGAAGCCAATTCTGCTTACAAAGCATATATAGTTGATTTTTGGAGTGATTAATCCGGATGATTAACTCAAACCTACATAAAAGTATTCGTTCCAAGTGTTACCTTAGTTTTACTCTCACGGGTCACAAAATATCATGTTGAAATTTCAGACTAGACACCATACACGAGGCCCTACTTGAAGGAGCAGCGCTCATGTTGTCAACTGAAACTAAAGGCGCGAGAATACATTCTCAGAACTCTTGCGTAACCTTAATACACATTAAAAACAAAAAAAAAAATTGGTGGTAGAATGATCCGATTATTTTACACTATTATTCACAGGGAGCATGGCCGAAAAAGAATAGTTTGGGGCCCATATCTGTAGTCTTTTGCAAAAGCTGTAATAATTCCATAGACTGCTACAATTTTTTCAATAGCTAATAAAAGAAGTCATTGAATTATGCTGGGAAAAAGAAGTCTACATTTACGAGATGACCAATTTTTTTGTTCTATTCATGCATATACGTGCATGCATAAACATAGAGTGCATGTTTATGTTTGGTAGAGAGAGCTTCCATGGTCAATAAATTACACGTAATTAAAAATATTCAAACACGGAGAAGAACCAAACCCTAGATCGAGTTCACAAGATCAGAAGAACCAAACCCTAGATCGAGTTCACAGGACTAACATGCAGAAACCTAAACACAGAACAATTCAGGACCATTTTACCTCACAATCCTGAAATGACCTTATTTTACAATGACCAACTACACTAATTTCACAGAGGTGGGCATACAAAACCAGGAGGGGGGGTCTGTCCACAAGTTATCAGCACTTGAAGAGCTAGAGGAATGAAAATGGTGAGGTTAAGGAGCTTAAGCCTTATACTAGTGCAAAGACAAATAGCTGCTTCAAGCTCTAGCAATCCTTTAAGCACAGGACAGCAAACATTCTCAACTGGGTTCCCTAATCCAACGTGCACCAAGCCTCCTAGCACATCAACGCAAGCCCCTAGTTTTAATGCATTGATTGGACAAGTTGGTTGGGTTGTTGGAGGAGGATTAACCCCTGGAATGCTGCCACCTCCGCCACCTCCACCTCCACCACCGCCTCCTCCTCCTCCACCACCTCCTCCTCCTCCACCACCACCACCTCCGCCAAATGGAGGACCACCAGAACGAGGTGGATATGGAGGGTAGCTTGAAGAAGGTGGTGGTGTTATCACAGGAGGGTTTGTTATAGGTGGTGTTATCACTGGCGGGGGATTTATTATAATTGGCGGTAGCACTACTGGTGGCAATGGTGGTTTCTTGGAAGGTGAGTGGCCTCTATGATGCGGTGGATGCTTCGTGGTTGGTGGTTTTGGGTGAGGAACTATAGGGCGGGTTGGGCGGGTTGGGCGGGTTGGAGGGTGAGGGTATGATGGTGGGTGTGGTTTAGTGCAAGGAGTGCAAGCATAAATGGGTGGCAAGGATATTGCCATGAAGATCATGAAGATGAAAAGCATAGCTGCAAATTTAGAACCCATGACTTGGGGTTCCTTGGAAGTTTACACTTCTAACTGTACTTGGGTTTTTTGTGAAGGGTTGTGATCCTAAGTTTATATAGATGAATCTATGACGAGCCCGTGACTGGTCATTTATGATATGAAGGCGAAAACTAGGCATATAATATTATGGAGATTTGTTTTTTGAAAATATCAATGTCCAAAACAAAAGGTTTTCACAGACCAACATAAAAGAATATTTTAAAAAATAGAACTTCATAGTATGATAATGAGAATAACACAATCCATTAAATTGCCGGTAACAGCTCAACTTATTTAAACTGTGTTGTTTCAAACAACAGCGTAATCAATAAACTTATGCTATTTAATCCGAAGTTTATAGCTTAATTGATGAAGTTTTAGGTTGGTTTTTAAAAAATTATTAATTTAAATTTTATAAATTTTAAATTATTAAAATGTTATATAATTATTAACTTTAAAGTTCATAAAATTAATTAACATATGATACAAACTGGTTTAAATATTTATATTAATTAGAAAAACTTATGCTATTTTTTCAAATGTTTTTTAACTTTAAAATTCATAAAATTAATTAACATACGATACAAACTGATTTAAATATTTATATTAATTAGAAAAACTTATGCTATTTTTTCAAATGTTTTTTTGGGTTGTGCTAATTTATTAAAAAAAATCTTACAGCGAGAAATCCAAGAGACTTTGTTTTGTGAAACGAAATAGGAGAATTTGGAACGTTGTTGGTCCTTTGCAAACTTCAATGCCCCATCCGTGACTGGGGCTCAGTTCAATCCGTGAACTTGTTTAGTTAATTTCAGAGCCCTAGTCAGTGGTCTGACAGATTTCCATATGGCTCTTCCTTTGTTCGTTTCCTTCAATTTCATATTTTCTGTCCATTTTCCCTGTTTTTTAGCCACTTGCTTTTCTTCTTTGCACGTCGCAGTGTGCATCTCCTGCTCTTATGGGTTATCATCTCTTTCTTTTATTATATTCTGTCATTTGATATTTGAAGGAAATTATAGGGATGAATTATATTGGGTTCACAGCCAGGCATAGCCAGGATCTTGCTTTTGGTCTATCATCTATTATTTCTGTCATTACGTCACGGTATAGTCCGAAAGTTTGCTGGTAGAGCTTTGGGTTAGCTGTGCTGGGCGTACATTATTTTGCAGTTCATTTCACGATGTAAACATGTGAACTATTCCCTGGATATTTTTGTTTTTATTCCATTTAAAGAGAATATATTTATGATCAAAACTAACAATATTAATAACAAAGGCTCTAATGTCAAGTTTTAAAACTATCTAGATTAGATTAGTACTGACTAAGAAACTATTGAAGCGGTAAAAGAGAGTGAAGTCCCTTCAAATTTGCAAGTTTGCGCATTTTTAAGATTATTCGGTGCCCTTGATCTTCTTCTTTTTATTGTAAATTATTATGTAATGAAGCCTGATATATATCACAGGAATATTAGCCATCTTCTTTGCGTTTCAAGATTACTTCCTATCATTTAATCTCTATCATTATCAATCTTTCTCGACATAAAGAAAAGAAATGTTGATTTTGTTGTGCTTGAGTTGAAGTTGTTAGATATTACTTGAAATCCTGAAATTTTTATAAAAATTGATTTATATTTAAAAATTTTATTGGGCTAGTTAATCAAAACTTTTATTGGATTATGATATTATTTTTGCACACTTTCATTTAGCAACGCCTAATCATATTGACGAAGCATCAACACATTTTGGAGCTCTCCATCCATGTAGAGTTAAGACTCTTAGGTCTCATACTTAGATATACGGTTCAATTTGTGCCCTTTCAAAATATTTTCACTAAGCAATTACTCCACTAGAGCGAGGGATATTTCTAAAGCATTTTTCAAACTCAACAATTACCGATATCAGCACAGTAAAATTAGTTTTTGTGGAATGCTATTATAATTAAGACCATTTCAAACAATTTCCAGTATAAACTAATTAAGGGAACAATATAAACTAATTAAGGGACAGGTACGTGTAGATATAATTTTAAACACCTAAAATTAAACAAATATACATGTACAAATATATGAATTTATTAAATATATGATCAGGTACAATCTCTATGTAATATTTTCTTTTAAAAAAAAGATAATCATCTGATTCTTCCCTTAAATTTAATGTATGGTGACTTGATTTATTTAAAAAATCAAGTCAAGATTTATGATTTGCAAGAACACGAAATCAAGTGTGTATTACAAAGCAATGTTTGGTGATTTGATGCTTTAAATAGTACTTTTAATTTTTCTTCAAAATGTTGTTGAAAGACTCTTGTGAAGTTTAAGTCTGATTTAATAGAGCTTAGCAAGATTTGGTAATTTGATGCTTTAAAAAATACTTTTAATTTGTCTAAAAAGTGCTATTGAAAAACTCTTATGGGGCATTTAAACTTGATCCAACAGAGCTTCATTCTTTTTAGACTTTAAGCATAGATGAAAAAAGTTTGAGAACTTTTGAAAGACCTTCCTTGTTTGAAGAGAAAAAAAAACTTCCTTGCTTGAAGAGTTTGTCTTGAAGGAAATTTGTATCTCTAAGAATCCTTTTTTCTTTTTCTAGGTTGAGGCCTTTTATTTATAGAGATCTGTAAAAGCTCTCACATTCCTTTTCAATGCCACATGGTATAATTTTATTAGTTGATATTTATTGATAGGATCTTGTATTTATAACAAGATAACTTAACAGGATCTTGCATTTATGATAAGATATCTTGAATATCTTATCCTAAGTGTCAACCTTTTATTGGCCAAGAAATATATAAAGACTCATTTATTTTTCATGTCATATATTTCAATTTTACGTTCTTTCTTTTAAAACAAAATAACACATGGTGAAATTTAGTTGGTAAAAAATTTATGTTTCTACAGTATGTTATCTCTTTAACTATCTAGTTCAAATTAAGTTCCGATCAAAATAAGAGAAGTTAAATTTTAATGAATTTTTTTATTAGATATGAATTACTTTTTTTGAACTAAATCAGAGAGCATTGATGAGAGGAGAACTTCAATTTTGAATCCAAATATTAACTCAAGGACTAAAACTGAAAATGGTAAACAAAATTGATAAAGAGCATAATTTTGGAAGACGAAAGAACCAAGTTCAAACTTACAGAAGGCACTACAAGATTTTACAGTTTTACCGGCGAACAAATTCTGTTAATATGAGATTTAGAGTTCATCAAAAAAATTTTAACCATCTAAATCACTGACGAAAAACATCTGTCGACTTACCATTCATTGATAATACTGGATTCCGTCACTAAGTCTGTCAGTAAAAAAAATATTATTGATGGTTCTACAGATGGAAATGCATGCCAAAAAAAATTCTCTTTTGAAATATACCAACGGATTTATTCTATTGATGATAGTGGCATATCCAGTAAATATTCTTCTACTCCCGGTTAAATGCCGACGAATGATATCCCTTTATAAATTTATTGGTGAATGTGACATTTGCACCAAGCTACTGTGAAATGCTAATAGACTTTATCCATCTATAAATTCATTGGTGACGGTGTCATTTCCTACTCTATGTCAAATGTTAACGGATACATTCCATCTGTAAATCCCCTGGTAAGTATTTTTAATTTTTTTAAAAAAATATTTAGAATAAATAATATAAAATTATATAAATTAATAGTAAAAAAACCAATTACGCAAATAAGATTTTATTAAACATCAAAAACAAAGAAATAAGGTTGAATAATATTCATTATAAATTCAATGTGTTTCAAAAAAAAAATATTAAGTTAGCATAATGACGAAGCTGAAAGAGAAGGAGAAAGAGGAGGAGGTTGGTTGTTATTTGGCCAAAAAGAAAATGCCCGTGTATCACCACTCTGTCCAATCATGTTCATGACCATTTGGCGCAATTATTCATAATTCGTCGAGAGTTGCTCGTATTTCTTGATGAGATTAGCTATGTGTTATTTCAAGGCCATAATATCTTCAGATTGGATACTCGATACTAATTTGGAGCTCCCAGGTTTGAGACATTACGAGTCGCCCGCAAGTTCTCAGTCGTAGTATTAGAAAGCTTGTACACCCGATTTTTATCGGATCCACTAAACGATCCTACCTTCATCCACAAATCCAAATCAAAATTCGAATGGGTCAACGTATCGTTCCCATATCTCTCTCTCAACCGACTATTATAAGTCTCTTAAAAAAAATTATCATATCCAATTCAATAAAAATAATAACTTACGAAATAAAATAGTTGAACAAACATATTATAAAGTGTTAAGTGTAGTTGTCAACAAACCGTTGCATCCCTTTTTGGCGATCTTGACTCCATATGTGCATCTCAACAAACGGCTCCATTGGGCTCAGCTCATGTTCAAGAGATGTAGTCTGTAAGGAAAAAAATTAATTAACTAACAATAAATTATTTAACAATATATTTTATTTAAATTAATCTTACCATTCGTTTTACATGTGCAACAAACGGAATGGAGCCGCTAGTGTGTGTTGTCACCAAGCCATGAATTGAAATAAAATAAGTTATGTTTCATTTAAAAATTTAATTTCATAAATTATTTGAAATAAAATAAATATCAATTAAAAAAATAATGACCAAATCTGATAAATAAAAAATTTCAATTAAAAAAAGAATAAGAGAAAAATAAATAAAAAAAATAAGAACCACAATTAATATAAAAATGAAATTAAATCAAATTCTAAAAAATAAAATTTAAAAAATTCAAAACAAAAGATATATATATATATATATATATATCAAAAACTAAATTTAATATAATTAATAAATAACAAGAGGTTTTTTTAATTTCTTCACAATTTTTTATAAAGATTTTTCTATTTAAAATACAAGTTTCTCAAAATCAAACTAAATTTTTTCATTAAAAGATATTTTTTATTAAATAATTTTTTTAATAATAAATAAACATAGTAAAATTTTTAAAATAACTTAAAAAAATTTGGTGCCGTACTATCTGAAAAGAAACGGTCACAGAGGAAGCTCAATATTACAAGGCAGGCTCTGAAATACTCATGAGCGAGATGT